GCGCCCTGCGGGTCAGCAGTTGATTTTCCTAGGCTAAATAACTTTGAACTGCGTGTCCATACAAACTAAACATAAATTACCTGAAATAATCTCAAAAACTGGGTAAACCACTTGTCCTCTAGTGCACTACCTTTTCTGGGCTTTTTTTACTATTTACAAGTCAAAGTAAAAATTTACTCTCGTGCTAACCGAGTTTTTGAATGTATAGGGTAGTAATTTTTTACTACACTGAGGATTTGAGCGAGTACAGAGAGAGAAATTTTTTACTGCCTTCACAAGGTTTTTGAGGTAATTTCTGAGAGTTATTTCAGGAGGTAAAAAAAAAGTGCACGAGTGCATTCGCACAAAGTCGACGAATTCATTAAATATCGAATGATGGCAGAATTGATGACACAGAGATTAACAAGAAAACAAACACCCACACACAACAAATGTAGAATAAAATATCACCTGAAGAGACTGTAGTTCGACAATCCGGTATACAGTCGAGCCCACATATAACGGCCCCACTTAAAACGAACTTCCACTTAAAACGAACAATATCCGCGTGACCGTCAACATATACATTGGTTCCATGGCACAAAATCGCACTTACAATGAACGTCTCCAAGCGCTGCTGATCGGTTACAGCGAACGAAATCAGCGGTCTGCCGACTTTCCGGGAAACCGATTTCAACTACCCATCAGGCATCGGCGAGGTACCCATACATTCTTATTGTTAAACGACAACCCTGCCTCCGCGACCCTCTAGTTGCCGCTCTCCCCAACTGATGGAGCCTCGACTGCTTTTTTGTTACGCACTTCTCCGTCCTTTGTCCCCCCCGCTACTCTGAGCATCCCACATCGCTAGCTGAGGCCCGTGTTTTCACATTGCCACTGATCTTTCGAAGACCGGTTAGCCATCTACCATTTTTGATCGCTGGAACTGTCGTTGGTATTGCCGGCCTGGAGTGACCAGACCATTTACCAACATCGTCGGCCACCGACTGTACACTCAAACCTCAATATATCAAACACGGATATATTGAATTATTGCCTATATCAAACGGTTCCTATATCACGCGGGAAGTCACATGCATTATTGATTTTTTATTTCAAACAAAGTTTGACATATAATGGATATATCGAACTCAGCCAACCCAATACACCCGCGCTCCATTGACAGTCAGCGAGCTTTCCCGCAACTCTCGAAAGTAGCGGTAGAGCGGCGGGCGTTTACGAATGCTGCACACATCGATGGCGCCGAGAGCGCCACTTTAACGTAGCGGCGTACCCGCGCCACAGCCTTGCGGTAGAGGTTCTTGAATGAGGAAAATGAAGAGAAAAGCGCGGAGCTGTTATTGTCTTTCAATACCAAGGCACCGACACGGCTTCGCGCGGGGGAAGGGGAGTGGTAGGTAAAGATTGAGGAGGAAAGTATAGAAGGGAAAGGACACAGACGACTGTCTCGGACGCGGCCCACGCTGCCGCCGGGAAAGGGAAAGCAGTGAGGCGAGCCGGCATGGGCGGGTCATGTGCGCGCCCTACACCCGGGCTCACGCCGCAGCCTTGCAGCTTGCAGTCGTTGCAGTCTCTATCGTGTCAACGGCACACTGCGCACTTGTTGCAAGCTCCTCCACTGTAGCATCGGCAGGCATCGGTCGTTGTGCTCGCAGTGTTCGTGCATTCGGAGTTAGGCCTGTCGCGCGCGCGAGGCTTAACTCTGAACGGCGGAGCTCACGGATGTGGAGATTGTCGCCGAAGCTACTGCTGAGCAGCCAAATGAAGACTCTGCCGAGGTGTATCCCGCAAGCGCTGATGGTGCCCCGCTCCCGACATCAGCTGAGGTCGTAGCTGCCTTGGCCCTTGTGCGCTGCCACTGCGGCGCGATTGAAGGCACCGGCCTATCACTTATGGATCGCCTGGACTATATTGACGACGCAGTCGTCAAACACGCCATGGCCCACAAAAAGCAGGCTACTCTTTTTCAATATTTTAAACCAACACAATAAATAATATGTTTGAATTTTCAAGTGAGTATTTACTGCACCACGCTTGAACGGTTCGTTGGTTATTTTCAGCAAGCTGTTGACGCATTTTTTTCGTGATTTTTTTTTATATCGAATTTTGGATATATTGAACTATTTCGCGATTGCCACGCCATTCGATATAACGAGGTTCGACTGTATTCGATATTCGTGTCTAGTGCACGCGCGTACGCTACCCCACCAACTCCGATAATTTGTGATTCGTTTCGTGTTTAGGACTTGTTCTCGCTCACTTCGCCCTCAGCTCAGCATGCCTTCCGCGTGCGGGTGGAAGTGCGAAATCGGCTGTTAATTTGCGCGGAACGAATCGCGAAATATCGAAGTTCGTGGCCACGCAAACCCGCCGGCGCAACAAAAAGATTTTTGACCATGGCTGCCGATTCTTCGAACACCGCCACGCGCGCACGCACTCTTTCCAAGTTTTTCTACGAGCGAGTTTTGCGGACCTTTCAAGCAAGCTACCCAACGTGCCTCCTTCCCGTGTGTTTTGGTTTTCGAGGTCGTCCTCCCGCCGCATCCTCCCCTCTCTTTATTGCAGCTCCTTGCCCTTCTCTCGCAAGTCTGCTCTTCTCTCTTGATCACAACCCCTTCGCCCGTCTCCACCGCGTCACGACGCCCGCCACGCTGGCTCGAATTTGTTTCGTTTTCTGACTGGAAACTGGCCCAGAACTGTTCCACGCGTTCTGGCATATGTGTCGCGAGTGCGCGTCTTGCTCGCTCTTGGCGTGCGTGTGTAGTCATGATGGCCGACAGGAGGACTAGCACGCTTTTTCCTGCCACTCAACAAAACGTCGAAAGTGTGACTGCTTGGCTTGAGCGTAATCTGCGCGTTAGGTGCCGCGTTGTGGAGCGCTTGCTCATAGCTATTGACCACTTGGCAGCCAACTTGCCGCTTCGGGCGTCCCGGTATTCAGCTGAGCGTGGAGATGTTGAATATTTCGTGGGTGGCGGTGACGGCTACATGGGCGCAAAACTGTTTTCGCGAAGCCGACTTCGTCAACGTCGGGCCTGATGCCGAGCCTGAAGCTTCCGAACTGCGGCGGCGATTTGTGGCAACGCGCCGTCGACTCCGACATGGGAGAGCGGGTGAGACATCTGTTGCGGTGATTTAATTACAGCCGAGGATGAGGCCGACACTGCGAAACCGTGCACGGATTGGGGCATTGTGAATGAAGTACGTGGCGAGAGCAATTTGGAGGAATCAGATTGCGAGAACGATGAAACTTTGGAGCCAGTGCCTCATGCAGCTTATGCCACGGGCCTCGGCGAACGAGCACTCTGCCGTTTTAAATGAACTCGAGAACGCCCTTATCGCTTCTGCTCTTCGAAACACATGTATCACTGACTTTTTGGGGCAAAAAACTTTGCGTTTTCACTCACAACTTTTTTAAAAGCCGAGTTTCATTTACTACGAACTTCGGAATACAGCGAACGGATGCCGTGTCATGCTCAGGTTCGTTATAAGCGGGCTTCACTGTATATAGGCACGACATTTTGACCTGCCATGTTGTGCCAGTAGGAGAGCTAACTTTTTTGCATCGACAAACATTAACGGTTTCAAGAGCAAGCGTAAACTTATGATGGGCTTCAAGTCACAACGAGTCACACCGACCATTTATTACAAACCCACCCGATTTTGCCTTTTTTGATTATCCAATAATTAGCTAGCACACTGGCCTATTAGCGTCACCAGTACTGGCACTGGTGACGAACAAGTCCACAAAATATACCTATGCACACACAAACGACGGCAGCTGAATCATTTTCATTCAGCGGCAATGCACAAACAGAGTAGCAGCACATACCGTATTAAGGACAACGGGCATAAAAGAGCAGTGCCACTTCTGTACTGATGGCGTACTAGGCTTTTTTGAGGAGCACAGCTATGCGATGAAAGACAGCGGGCGATTACAGAATACATCTCCTGTGCGAATTTCATCGTCATTTGAAACTCAAATGAAAAATACGTGTCCACTATTTGCAGCGTATTATGGGGTGATATACGCATATGTACTTCCAACAAAAGAGACTGACCATCATCCGGATTTTCACTTGTGCTTACCAGCGGCCGCTCGTTTGTCCAGTCTACCTCGTATCAGTGCTTGCCTTTGCGCTAAATGTTTGACGACTGGCACATAGAGTGGACAATTCGGGCTGCACTTTCCTCTAGCAGACATCGTCTTCTGTGGAACGAAATCTATGGGACGATTTCTTCACCTGCCTGTTTTCTTCACATGCTTTCCTGGCTCGTTGTGTTTATGCTGTTCCCAGTTGCAGTGAAAGTGCGTTGACTCGAGGCCAGCCATGAGGTGTGAAAATGCCATACCAAACTTCGAAAAAAAAAAAAAAAAACATCTATGGTCCCCGCATACCTTTCCGATTCACTGAGAGCGTCACTAGTGAAGATGATGGGGGGAGGGAGAGGGTATGAGGCAAAAGTCGTCGAAGCTGCTGTAGCTTGCAGTCACGTGGTAAAAAACCCTGACACGGAGGGTAAAAATCTTGGGGTAGAAAACTCCCCACGAGGTAAAACTGCATTTTGACACCCTTCTACCACTACCTCAGATGCATTTTGGCATCCGAGGTAGTGATATAACTATTTCATGTACCATTTTTTACTCTAACACGAGGTAGTAACTTTTAATGATAGAGAGTTTTCAGAGGTCATGAGCTGCAAAAAACCCCAAACTCAGATAATTTTTGCTTACAGTGTATCGCTGCAGTTCTTCTCGCACTATCCTTTTAAATGTTCAGTCTGCGCAGCACACTAGCAAATCATGTAAAACAATGAAGTCTTGAAAACGGTTGGAGGGCACCTTTAAACATGATGCTTAAGGGTCGGTTCCCCCATTTTTTCGACGACCTAATTGCACGTAGCTCAACCAACGTGCCTCAAGGCATGCCACACGATGGGAGATACTCACTCTGTAGATTAACCTGCCACTACTGCAAGAAGCAAACGCGGGAGCTCACCAGTGCAAGGCAGTGCGGCCACCTGCATCCACAGCATGAGTGCTGGCCCCAACGTCAAGCAGGGCAAGCACACAGCTGCCATGTCCTCCACAGGCAGCAGCCATCAATGGGTTCAGCTGATTCGATGGCTGCTGAGGGGCGCTGCCACCGCACACGTCCAGCATTAACTGAAGCACCTCGAGGTGGCCTCTCGAGGCAGCAGCCACCATCGCCGCATCTGCACACACACGCACTCTGAATGAAAATTCGAGGCAGCCAATAGTTGAAACAAAAAAACAGGCCAAATGTTTTAAAGCGAAAGCTGTATATGGCTACGAAAAAGAAAAATCCGTTCGACAGCGGTATCATGAGCGGTCTCCATTGGCTGCGTTACAAGTTACGTCCCTCTCAAGCACGCGTGCCATTGGCTGCGCTGTGAGTGACGTCGTCGCAGCCGTGGCGCCGAGCCCATACGCCAGAATTTCTCCTGAGACCTTTCTGCCGAGTTGGCTCGCGATGTCAGTCGCTCGCAACGATGCGGCGTTGCGGCGTCAATGTGATGATGACGGGAACGCGTTCACCGGTGCCAACTTCGCTTTCGGTGGGCGTTTCTACAGTGGTATATCCAGCGGCTTCGGCCGCGACGTCTGTGCCCACCTGTGGTTCGAGAACAACCACTGTAATCACCACATTGCAGAATGCATTTAACCACTCATTACATTCCTCCATGACTATGATCATGCGAGACACAATGAGCGGCATGTGAAATAAACACAGTGGTAAACCCGATGAAAATGTGTGTCTATTCTCAGTAATAAGCACAAACATGTACCAGTGGTTGTGAAACACTTTATTTCTACATCCGGTTAAACCCACTGCTATGCACCATTCGCTTCAAGCTGTTAATCATGATCGTAGAGGCCCACGAGACGGCTTTATGCTCTCCCATAGTAGAGTAACTAGTGCTCTAAATGAAATTGTCAACAGCATTTTCAAAACAAACATCGGGACTACACATTACAGCTTGCACTGGTTAACCATTTGTACGGAGTGCTTGTACGGTGATTTTTTTATAATTACTTCAGAGATTGATCAGCGCTCAGTCTTCTCCGCCAAAGAAGCTTGCTGCTAAAACCCAGCACGTATACAGAGCTGTGTTCTGTACATGCAAATAATGTTGAAATGCCGTCATTAAACCACTAGAGTGCAACCCTTCTGGCATCCAATACGCACCAGGCCGAACTTGAAACCCGCCAAGTGTATGTGACATTTTAGCACTTGTTCTTAGAGATCCCCGTGTATCTGTTCATAACAAAACAACAGTTCCTTGGGTGAGCAGAGTGCCTAAGATGTTGTTTACAAACCTAGAAAAACTAGCCATGGTTGGCTGTCCTCTAGGCAACACACAAGTTTTTGCACAAGTGCAGATAGGCTTACGAACATTTTAACAAGAAAACCATTTACACTCAGAAAGCTGCAGTAGTTCGGTTTCAACGCTCAGTACAATTGAGTCCACGTTCAGATAGCCTAAGTGTCGTAGACTAGAGGCCCATCCACAAGAACTTCCAATCGATTATTTTAAAGCATATATATTTGCTCTCTGTCTGATATTTGCTCTCTCTGTCTGATATTTGCTCTCTCTGGTAGTATTTGCTCTATAATTGAACAGGCTATACACTCACACCTCCTTATAAGTAACAGGATATAACGAAATAATTGATATAATAAAGTAAATGAAATTTCCCTTGAAAGCTCGATTGAGAACCATGCATTTTAAACCTCATTATAATGAAGTAAAATTGAGCAGTAAACAGATATAACAAACTAAATTAGTCAAATAGTCTATAAATAAACAACCGTGGTGTGTTGAATATATCGTTTTCTGCGGAGTTTGACGCTCGTTCGGGGCAGCTCTTTCAAAACTACCGCACCCACCTTGCAGCCATGCCACGCGCGGCCGAGAGAACCGTCCTTTTCACACAGCCAGCGGACAGGATTGAAGAAGCGTCCAGCGAACCAGTTACATGACCGAGAAGCGGGGCCGGGAAGCAAAGCAATTTTCCTCTCACTTATGCGCCTTAAAGACGACGGCAGCGACTGCGTCATCGCTGCTACCCTCTGTATCGAGAAAGGAGGACTCTCCGTGACAGCTTTCTTTTTTTTTTTTTTCCTTTCTCTCTGCACGTGGCCTTGAAAGGAGAAGGGTCTCTACATGCAGAGAAAGAAAAGGGAGAGGTGTGACAAAGGCGCGTCACAGATCGGCCATTGAGAGAGAGCAAACAATCCGCCAGTCTTTTTTTTTTTGTCTTCTTTTCCTTCTTCACGTGCAGCGGTGAGAGGTGCCGCGGCGGGATTGAGCATGGTGCTGAGAGAATTTTCGGAGCGCGGATATGTTCGAATTAACCATCGCAAGTGCTTGCGCGTTCGAATTACAGGGCCTTTTCGCCTATTAGAATACACATAGCTTTGACTGGACCTCAGCGTGATTTCTAATTAACTGGAAGTTCGAATTAAGCGTGTTCAAATTAATGAGATGCGACTGTGTTTATTTTTCTGTGGCAGGCATGGTCGCGTAGCGGTACATCAGGCCACGAGGCAGCTTTCTTCTTTGCATGCTTATAAGGTGTGGCCCATCTGAGCATACATTGCCACAAATTGTTATAGTTGATATAAAATAATGAATATAACGACATAATTGTGGCTCCCCTTCAACTTCATTATAATGAGGTTTGAGTGTAGGATATAAAAAGCGACCGCAGTATCCTCAAAATTAATATTAAAGCAGGGCCGAGCAAATCTAATGGCAAGCAACTCAATATTGCAGACTGGAAGAAAGTCAGACATCGTCGCAATGAAAATGATAATACTATTTCCAAAATACAGTCGAGCCCACATATAACAGCCCCACTTAAAACAAACAATATTCGCGTCACCGTGAAAATATACATTGTTTCAATGGCACAAAATCCCACTTATTACGAACGTTTCCGAGTGCCGCCGATTGGTTACAGCAAACGTAGTCGACGCTCTACCAACTTCCCGGGAAACCACTTCCAACCACCGATCAAGCATTGGCGAGGGGTCCATAGATTCTAATTGTTAAATGCCGACCCTGCCTCTGCGCCGCTCTAGTTGCTGCTCTCTCTGACCGCTTTTTGTTACGCAACCCTCCCCCCTTTGTCCCCCCCCGCTACTCTGATCGCACACCGCATTGCCATACGAGGCCCGTGTTTTTACACTGCCCCCGATATTCCGAAGACCAGTCGGCCATCTCCCCAGTTTTTGTTCGCTGGTACTGTCGTTGGCGTCGCCGGCCTCGAGTGACCAGACCATTTGCCAACATCGTCGGCCACCGATTGTATCCGATCGTCTGCGTCTTGTTGTCTTGTTTTATCGTATCGTTGTAGTACACATACGTACGCCACCCCGCCGACTCTGGTAATTTGCGATTAATTTCAAGTTTAGAAGCTGTTCTCGCTCACTTCAAACTAGGCTCAGCATGCCGTCCGCATGCGTGGGGAAGCGTAAAAACAGCTGTTAATTTGCGCAGAACGAATCACAAAATATCGAGGTCGGCGAAGCCACTCAAACCCGCTGGCGCAGCAGAACGATTCTTTGTCCACGGCCGCCGATGCATTGTACACCGCCGCGGGCCCCGATCCAGGCGGCCGTGCTTTGACCTCTACGCCTGCAGGGAATCTTTTCTACGTGCGAGTCGCGCAGAACTTTCAAGCAAGCTACCTAACCTGCCTCATTCCCGCGTATTCAAGATCGCCTTCTTGCCGTATCCTCCCTTCTCTTCCCCCTATTGCAACTCTTTGCCCTTCTCCCGGAAATCTGCTCTCCTCTCTTGATCACAACCCCTTCGCTCGTCTCCACCGCTCTGCGACGCCAGCCACGCTGGCTCGAATTAGTTTCGTTTTTTGACCGGAAACGGGCCTAGAGCTGTACCATGCGTTCTGGCATATGTGTCGCGTGTGTGCGCGTGTGTGGTCAGGATGGCGGATGGGAGGCCTTGCAGGTTTTTTGCTGCCGCTCAACAAAACGTTGAAAGTAGGACCGCTTGGCTTAGGCGTAATTCGCACGTTAGGTGCTGCATTGCGGAGCGCTTGCTCATAGTTGTTGACCACCTGGCAGTCAACTTGTCTCTTCGGGCATTCCGGTATTCAGCTGTGGAGACAGTGAATATTTCATCGACGGCGGTGACGGCTACATGTGCGCGAAACTGTTTTCCCGAGGCAGACTTCATCAACATGAGGCCCAATGCCGAGCCTGAAGCTTCCGAACAGGACCATTGCGGTGGCGATTTGTGGCAGCGAATCGTCAATCCGAAATAGCAGAGCGGGTGGGGTATCTGTTGCGATGATTTCATTACGACCGATGATGATTCTGACACCCCAGAACCGTGCACAGATTAGGGCGTTGTGAATGAAATACGCAGCAAGAGCGATTTGAATGAATCGGATTGCGAGAAGGACGAAACTTTGGAGCCAGTGCCTCATGCAGCTTATGTCACGGGCCTCGGCGAAGAGCACGCTGCCGTTTGAAATAACTCCAAATCGCCCTTATCTCTTCTGCTCTTCGAACCACATGCGTTACCGACTTTTTGGGCAAAAAATTTGTGTTTTCTCTCGCAACTTTTTTAAAAGCTGTGTTTCATTTACTACGAACTTCGGAATACAGCGAACGAATGCCGCGTCAGGCTCAGGTTCGTTATAAGTGGGCTTAACTGTAGTACGTCGCTTAAGCAGGATGTCAACTTAGCGACACAAGGCATCCCCCAGGAAGCCAAAATGTAACAGGTAGACAGTAAACTCCTACAAATGTGTCAGGCGAAAGAAGTTATTCTGAGATGATGGGAAACCCAAAGCCTTTCCGACGAAGGCCAGTTCGGCTCGACTCTTCCGTTACCGCGCGGAAATGGTTATTTTTCATGTCTCGGGAACATCGTTTTCGGCAGTTCGAAAAGTACTACAGTACGCATTGCAGCATACCAGTTTTCGGGCAATGAAATGCTCTTTTCGAAAAAATATATGCTACAGAGCAACAAAAATAGTTTGGAATGAATAAGAGCAATATAAAAGACTATATGTGCAAAGATATTCTAAACAACGAAAATTCAAAGTATACACTTCACAAAAAATTACCCAGGAAATGCATAAAAAATAATAAATGTTGGACAAAAACTTTCTATTCACCTAGACGAAGAAAATCAGAACCGAGATGATGCTTTGTTGC